CTGAAGCAGGGTTTCGTATCGTCAAATTTGACTTTCGCACAAGAATGGAGGCCGATTTTGGTGAGATCTCAAGGGCATTTCCGTTCGGTACGCTGCACGTGATGTACCGCAGAGGCAGGGATGCTGCCAGTCTCGCCATAGCCGCAGTCATGATCATTAGAAAGTCTACTGATCCGCGAACAGGATGAAATAGGAAATCGAATTGTGGCCGGGAAACAGGAAGAAGAAAGCGTAATACTTCGTGATTGGGGCTAATAAAAGTGACCAAATCCGCCCTTATGAGAGATGGGACACACCATATAACCCCTCTCGTTTGTTACGAGGAGAGGAGGCATGAGCATCAGGCAGTTGCGAGCGGCTAATCTAGGACTCAGGAAAAGCCGCCATGGCTCCTAGCGCAAAGCATTCACAACAGCTGCAAATGCGCCCCGAGCTCATCAGACTTCTCGAATTTCGAGGCTTTTCACCGAACCGAATCTAGGTGCTGTAATTGGTTAGTCTGCGTGGCAAGAAGAGCTAGACTCTTCCGAACCTAGAACACGACAAGCCAGACTCTTCTGTTCGGCTTCCCCCGAGGCTCTATCTGGAGACTAGAGCAACGAATCCTGGTGCGGGATGATGGATGAAAGGCTAAGCGCGATTCGTCGGATGGGTTCGGCTTCGCCAAGGCCAATACCCAAGAACGCAGCAGATTGGCTGCACCACGCCACGTCAAGGCTCCCTGGGTGAGTCCGAAATCTGGCGGCCAACACGGATTTGAATGTGGACATTGTCCAAGAGCTGACGCAGGAGTTCGTTCAATATCGTTCATGACGCAGATTAGTGTATGATTTCTATTGACCTCATATATACGGTATAAGCTCACAAAGCGATAGAATGGGCATTTTCTTTCACCGAACTCTGTTTTGTACATTCCCTGCATTTCATGAGCCGGGGCCCGGGGAAGAGGGGAAGGGGGGGGGGGGGGGGGAGGGTGTTTACACAGATGCTTCTGATGCTGTTGAAAAGTACTATGCACGATCCTGCAATAGAATATGGCCATGACGTTACGGACCCAGATACACCGCTAATTCTCATGTGATAGTTCAGCCTGAATGCGCAGAAGTGGTTGGCATTTGCCATACAAAGTGTGTTGACGAAACTGTTAGATTATCAAGCATACAGCAAAAGAATATTTTGGTGTAGCAACTGCACTGCATGATATGTACAATAGTTTGATGACTGTACAATATGTGACTCTCAAGGCTGCAGTGCAGAGTGTAACCTGGCCTTTATCTCAAGAGACGTATTCTGCACCACAAATGAAAGCTTCACTTGGCACTGCAGGATGCCAGTAGACTAGAGGCGAAATAGAGCGGAATGGCATTAAAATTTTATTAATAAACAATGCCTCAGAATGTGATCTAGGATGATGTTTCTCTGATCATCCAAGGTTGTGGACCACGCGCAGCTTCACCCTGTAGTAGCGGCACTGCAGGATGCCACTGGAGGCGAAATAGAGCGGAAAAGTCTCCCAGATGGCAGTCACCTTGTACCTGCCAGCCACAGAGAGATGGTGAGGGATGGCATTCACGACAGTGAGTTTTTTGCGACGCATTGAAACTAGCATGCCACTGGAGGCGAAATAGAGCGGAAAAGTCTCCCAGAAGGCAGTGACCTTGTACCTGCACAGAGAGAATGAGGGGCGGCATTCACAACAATGAGATTCTGATAGTGTTTGTGACGGCTCAAAACGAGGATGCCACTCGAGGCAAAATAGAGCGGAAAAAAACTCCCAGATGACAGCCACCTTGTACCTGCCAGCCACAGAGAGATGGTGAGGGGCGGCATTCACAACAGTGAAATTCCTTTTGAGGCGCCTCATGAAAAGTTCTCCCAGATGGCAGTGACCGACCTTGTACCTGCCAGCCACAAGGAGATGGTAAGGGATGGTATTCACAACAGTGAGATTCCGATAAAGTGTTTTGCGACTTCTCAAAACGAGGATGCCACTCGACGCGAGGTAGAGGGGATAACATTTCCAAAAGACAGCTACCTTGTACATGCCAGCCACAGCGAGATGGTGAGGGATGGCATATAGTGGGATTTCGATTGACATGGATGGCAGAAACTGAGATTGCTGGTGATAGCGATAAAAGCCAACGGTGGTGCAGAAGCTAGGGCAGGGCTGATGGGCAGTGGTGCTGATGGGCAGTGGTGCTGATGGGCAGTGGTGCAGAAGCTAGGGCAGGGCTGATGGGTTGAAGTGGCAAGCAAGTCACAGGAAGGGTGCCAAGCCACAACCAGCAACTGGCTAGTTGATCTAAAATCAGAGAGGCCTCGCAGGAAGGTGCACCTCTCTAAAATCACTTCAATACAAGCCACAGCCAGCTAGTTGCTGGTGGTTCGCTGCAATAATGGAATCTGCAGGGGGGTTATGATTTCAGGAGGTGCCGAACTGTTGCTTGCCATGAAGAACAATCAAACATGAAAAAAAAACGTTAAAAACATGGATATTCATTATTAATTCATTCTGAAACTATCCTGCCCAGAATCTTTTCATACTGCCATGAGGTTACCCAAACTACCCCATTATTTTCGCGTGCTGCCCCAACTCACGTGTACTGCCCGCCAACAACAAGCGGTCGGAGGCGCATTGCCCGAGTGAAGTCACAATTCTTGAACGCCTTCTCGTCGTCCATGATCCACAGATCATGCCATGCCAAGTCTGTCCACTTGAAGACTGCGAGCAGTGTGGATAGAAACAATTATCATTCCACATGAGCACTTTCTCATCGTCCATGATCCACAGATCATGCCATGCCAAGTCCGTCCACTTGAACACTGAGGGGTTGAGATGGTTGAACAGAGGAAATCAGGCATGAGATGATCATCATGATGAGCACAGAACAATCCACATTGACCATCTCCTCACCACATCGTCCATGACCCACAGATCATGCCATGCCAGGTCTGTCCACTTGAACACTGAGGGATGGGCACGGGGAAAAGACACATAGTACAGTTAATGGTAATTGGATAATAGTTCACTGCATCATGCCACATGCGCTATGGCTCTATTGCTGATGATGCATGGTGATGGCTTATAATGATATTGCTTGGTGATGGTTCATGGGTGATGATAAAAATGGAAAAGGAAAAGAAGAAGAAAAACAGATACTCGTATAATTCATTCAACGATAAATTTGAGAAAGGCATGGGTGGAGAGGCATGCACAGTCATAATGAGTGGAACTTTAAGTTAACCTTATTTCATCTGGTCACACAGTCACACCCACAAGTCATATTCCGTGGAAGAATGGAACTCACGGTTACTCCACTTTCACGCAGCAAAATACGAAGTGGTGTGAGTTGGAGAGGTGTGATATGGAGAGTCAAGTGGTATGGTATAAATCCGAATTTGGAGGACCTACCGTTTGTATCGCCACGATTGATCAATTTTTTAGACGTCTCAAAAGGTGTGATATGGAGAGTCAAGTGGTATGGTACAAATCCAGGTTTGGAGGACCTACCATTTGTATCGCCACGAGTGACCAAATCCGGAGGCCGCACCCCTCTTAACCTGAGGAGATCCCACTCACTGACTGTGTGTGTGCCTCCACTCACTGACTGTGTGTGTGGCTCCACTCACTGACTGTGTGTGTGGCTCCACTCACTGACTGTGTGTGTGGCTCCACTCACTGACTGTGTGTGTGGCTCCACTCACTGACCATGCGACCTACCGATTGTATCGCCACGAGTGACCAAATCCGGAGGCCGCACCCCTCTCGTCCTGACAAGATACCAAGGGATGGTGTAGGTGGCGGCCTGGTGGGTGGAAAACAGATAGCCAGGGGAAACAGAGAGCCAGGGGAAACAGAGAGCCAGGGGAAACAGAGAGCCAGGGAAACAGAGAGCCAGGGGAAACAGAGAGCCAGGGAAACAGAGAGCCAGGGGAAACAGAGAGCCAGGGGAAACAGAGAGCCAGGGAAAACAGAGAGCCAGGGGAAAAAGAGAGCCAGGGGAAAACATAGTTCAGAGCCAAGGGAAGGGTGGTGGTACCCTTGGTATCCTTGCTTGCTACCCACTATGCGATGGCTTACGGGGCAGCCTGGTGGGTGGAGGGTAGAATCCTTCCGACCCAGCAAGGTGTTTCGAAGGATAAGAAGTCTTTTTAAGGGTTGGTGAACAGGGCGACCTAATGTGTGGAAGTAACAGTTAGAATCACACGAAGATGACTGATAATGCACTGACAGACTGGACATATAGTGACAGCACTTGCTGTTTAGTTAGAGTATAATGCATATCAATCAACACTTGATGTTCTGCTCTCTGGGACCCCATATAGCCAGCCCCCGTTTGAACAACGAAATGTGTCAAAGTGAAATAATGTGAAAGCACGAAGACACGAGATGTCACCAGCAAAGGCGACTGTTAAGAATGCTGGAAAACGAAAGTGGCGACAGGGTTACTTCCAGCAGGAGAGGCCACGACTTACCTGTGCTTGCTGCAGCCAGGCAGCTGCGCATGGAGGGGAAGGGGAAGGGGAAGGGGAAGGGGAAGGGGAAGGGGAAGGGGAAGGGCGGAGGAAAGGACGGGGGAGGGAGGGAAGGGAAGGTGGGGAAGGGGGGGGGGATGGGGAAAAGGGATATGAGAGATGATGGAAAAAGAGCAGCAGGGAGGGAAACGGGAAGGGAGAAAGGGAAGGAGGAAGGGGGCGACGGAGGGAAGGAGGGAGGGACGTAGAGGGGAGGATGGGACGATTGGGGAAGGTGATAGTGGGAACGCGGAGGGATTGACGGGGCGGGAACGAGGGGGCGAAGTAAGGAGGGGAGGGGAGATGGGGCGAAGGGGAGGTGAGAAGCCTGGAATAAGCATGTGACTGTGAAGCGCGTGACTGTGAAGCGCGTGACTGTGAAGCTGATTGAGCCGATTAACTAGCTGTCAGGAGGGAAACGATATTCCGCGTCTGAGAGGAGAGGAGCGTAAAAAGGAAATCAAAGACATTGCATGTTGAGTTGCTTACTCGTTAGTAGGATCGAGGTGCTGACGAGAAAGGCGAGGGCGACGCCGACTGATCGCGCCATTAGTAGCAGCAGCAGCAGCAGCAGCAGCAGCAGCAGCAGCAGCAGCAGCAGCAGCAGCAGCAGCAGCAGCAGCAGCAGCAGCAGCAACAGCAGCAGCAGCAGCAGCAGCAGCTTTCAGCTGACACGAACGAGGTGTGAGGCGAGAAGCAGTACTAATGCGATTCTGCTTGCGTAATCGGTAACAAGCAAGACTCAAAGGACACAGCTGTACGGACAAACGCTTCGCAGCGTGGGCTAGCGCTGTCTCTGGAGACCTCGCGACTGCACGGAGAGAACGACTGCTAGCGCTGTCAACTTGAGCGTCAGGCTAACAGCTGCTTGGGTAAACTCAGATCGGTCGTTTAAATTGGTCGTAAGATTGATATGCGTCACAGAGCTGAGTTCGGTCACTTTCTTGCGCACTCGGAACGCCATCCGACAGACGGACGGAAAGATCCATTCTCCGCGCACAACGCTGACAACGCTGACCACGCTGTCAGCGTGGTGGCAATCCGCGCGCAACGAAGCACCGTTACAAACATCGTCACAGAAAACTTGCGCGAACGGGCAGGTTACCGGGTCCGCGAGAGCCAGCGTGACTCGCCAACAGGGGTCTGTCGAAGCAACGCGCGCCGGCGCGCCCATACGAAGGGTTGCTTAGAACGGTAAGGTAAGGTAAGGTAGGGTAGGGTAAGGTAGGCACTCCCAGTTGAATTCTTTTTGGAGGATCTGAGCCAGGGCAAGGGAACATTCCGAAATCTCATGTGAGGGTTGCCTGAAGCACAGGTTGGGTCTTCATAAGGCTCTTCATTCGGCAGAGACCGCCATTCGTGGTCTGATTGGCGAGCGGTGGAAGCGTGTAGGCAAAAGGCAAGGGAAGATTCGGCGCGCTCATATGAGGGTTGTCTTCACAGGGCGCTTCGTTCGACAGAGACCGCCATTCGTGGTCTGAGCAGGGAGCAAGGCGGAAAGCAGGGCGGACAGCAGGTCGGAAAGAATGTCGGAAAGAAAGGCGGAAGCAGAAACAACACGCAGCGTGAAATTGAGCTACATCGCGGTGGTTACATACTTCTGTTATGAAACAAGATGCAGCGTGAGTGTCGGCGCCGCTGAGCTGAAAGCATGCCCTAGAGAATGAATCATAAACTTGTCGCTATTCATCAAGTTGATGTCGCTGTGCTAGCTATGACTGTCCCTACCGCAATCGCTGCCGCTAAGCGTAAGGGGCGCAAGAAATGAGAACCCAAGGAAGTCGGTGGACGACATTCCAGTGAGCTTGTTCCACGTGCATCCATGGCTGCTGCTTGGTTTCCTACTGTTTCAGGCTTTACCTTCGGTACTCGGTAGAATCTGGGAATTTGGGGTGACGGGGGGAGGAGACGCGAAAATGTTTCCGAGGTGCCCCCACCAACCACCACCCTTTCGCTAGCTCCCCCACACGCCCGCAGTTTTTGTGCGAAACGCCCAAACGAGGGTCAACTGTTGTTGACTCTGGTTGGACTCTCCGCCTTCGCAACCTTCCTCCCAGCACCCAACTGGGCGGCTGCCGAACATCGCCCACATGCCTGCGGTTCACCCATATTCAAGAGCACCAGGTTCCTGGAAGCACACAGTGGCCGACATCTTGTGTCGTGGTAACCCTTTCGTTACGCCCTTATCCACGAAACTCTGACTTGCCGAGTTCGTCCACGCGATTCCAGTTTCAACCTATAAAGATCCCATCGAGTTGATTTTTCTGCATGTGCTCACGTCTACTATCAAACCCACACACAAATCAGAAAGAGTCTCACTTTCACCCATCCTTGCTCCCACCAGATCAACAGCAGACAGAGGGAGACATGTCGTCGTTTCGTGCTCTTATGCGACTTGGGCGGCTCAAGTTCATTCCGTACTCGTCCATGCTCGCCCTCATGGGCGCGCTCTCACGTGACATCAGCCACAACCACGGGTTTCGTTTTCGCATTGAGAGCTTCGTTCCCGTGGCGCTCTTCGTAGCATGCACGCACGTCATGACGCATTACTACAACGAATACTTCGACTACGAAGCCGATCTCACGAACAAGCACCGCGGAAAGTGGAATGGCGGCTCGGGCGTGCTTCCCGAGGGCCTGCTGCCGCGCTGGTTGGCGCTCGCCGCGGCGAACGTGCTGCTCATCGGCAGCGTCGTCACGCAGCTCGCCTTCTTCCGCGCCCCCGCGCAATGCGTCGCGTGCGCGACGCTGTTCCTCTCGTGGGCGTACACCGCGCCGCCGTTCAAGCTCCACTATCGCGGCTTGGGCGAAGCGACCGTTGCCGCCGTGCTGACGTGCAGCGTTCCCGTGATGGGCGCGCTGCAGCGCCGCGACGACGACGCATTCGTGCTTCCGACGTCGCTGCGCGCAATCATCCCGCTGCTGTGCGCGCAGCAGATGGTGTGCATGATGATAATGAACCTCCCCGACATCGACTCCGACCTTCAGTGCGGCAAAATCACGTTGACCGCGCGATTGGGGCCAGAGCGGGTTGCGCGTTTGTACCGATTCACGCAAAATGCGGTTGGTGTCATGGCAGTGATCTTGTTCGCGTGTGGGCGCATGACGTGGCCCGTGCTCGTCGCGTTTCTCGTCGCCACGACCAAGGGGATCAGCTTGGCCCGTCGCCTAGACGGGATCGTCTTTGCCGTCACCAGGACTGCAGCAGGTTCCTCCCGCGACACAAAAAAATACGACGACGCCACGTCTGATCATACTGCTGTTGGAAAGCCCTTGAAGAGTACTATGGACTTTGGAGATCTTCCGTACCAGGCGACGATTCACGTGGCATCAACGGCGCTGATGCTGGTCCTGGCCCAAACCGTGGTGCTGATGATGCAGTGAGTGAAATCTTGCCATCCTGAGGAAGCGCTGAGGGGTAGAGGACAGTACCGTACCATTCGAGCACCGTAAATATTTGTACATATTCCCTAATGTACAGAGCTCGGAGTACCGTAGTATTGTGTTCTACAGCTAAATGTGTGTCAAATTGATGTTAGTGGGTACAGACAGATATCTTGGATGCTGGTGGTGGCAGGGCATTCTTCATTGCATTGTTGCGCATCTAAGGGTACATTCCGCTGTGGACACATGTCCCATACGATGTGTCCCAATCGTTTCTACCGCACTGCATCGTATTACACCAAATTGCACCCTAGTTTCGAAATTTTCGCGTCTCTGGTTTAGTTCGGTTCGGAGCGGTACACTCGATTGGGACACGTCGATTGAGACATGTGTCCACAGCGGAATGTACCCTAAGTTGCAAGGTGTTTTGCCAGTTACCATATGAACTCCAATCCAAACACTTGTGTGACCTCTGAGTCTGCCTGGAAAGCTACGGTACAAGCAACAGCATCCGTTTGCCAGACACACACAGCCTTTGAAGTACCGTAAAATACCGGCACACCAGAACAATACTGGCAGACGCTTGTCAACTAGGCAGTTGCATCCCGAAATCCCAGTACGACCGTAAGCACGTCAGCCCAGATCCACGACATGTCAATCTTTGTCAAACGAGGTCAAAGCAGGTCAACGCAGGTCAAATCAGGTCCAGCAGCATGTGGTAGAGCATCCTGGTCCACTCATCCGGTGGCCCTGGCAAGCAGTACTGCAGACAGTCAGAGGGCGGCCGAATGTGCCCGTCGGGTCTCAAAGCGGTCATAGGGTCAACATCCAGGAACACGCCCCCAACTGCCTTCACCAGCCGCTTGGCCCACTCGTTCTGGGCGGCGAACTCACCCCAGTGGTTGGGTAAGGATGAAGGATCCTGGCGTTCTGTGATTGGCGCAAGCAGCTGGTCGCAGTGGGCGTGGCCGGGCGGCGTGCTTCGGTAGATTATGAGGAGGTCCGGAGCTGCGGCTCTCACTTTGGTGAGCGTTTCGTTCAGCTGAGGAATGAACTTGTCGTCCTCCACAAAGTGTGACCCTCGATTCAGTATAAGCACAGAAATGTTACTGCTGCTGTCGTTGCTGCTGCTGCTGCTACTGGAGCTGCTACTAGAAGGGACAGCCTTGATCTGGTCGAACCAGGGCAATGAGAGGGTTGATGCGTCCGCAGGTCCGGCCGGATCCTGAGCTGCAGGATCGGTATTGGGCGGCGAGGTTCGGAGAACATCGTCCCGAACAAAGAGGACAGACACGGAGTCGCCGAACGTGAATTGGGTGCAAACAGGAAAGTCCTGCTGCTGCCTTAGGTCCAGCCTGGCACAGAAATCCGGCACCTCATCACGCACCATGATCCGATGCTCCAACCCCTCGTACCCACCCCCTCCTCCTCCTCCCTTTTCTTTCCCCGCCCCTCCTCCTCCCACTCCTGGCATGAGCATGTGGTTGCGGAGGGACAGGAACAGCATGGCGCTCGTTTCATCCCCCACCATCAGCACCCTCCGCCCTGCCAGCCTCCGCGCCAGCTCACCCCTCTCCACCGCACCCCACCGCCCGCACCTCCTGTGCACCCTCCACCTGTACTTTACCGCGTCCCGAACCTGCCACTCCCGTGCGTGCCGAGCCTCGTCAGCCACAGCATCGGCAGCAGTGAAGGCCAGATTGCCAGTTTCGGAGGCTTGGCGTGACCAGGCAGCATCACACTCCCAGCCGGACCAACCCTTTCGGAGTTTAAACCAGGGGAGTTGGCGGGGGACCGAGTCCAGATCCCAGATGCCCTGGGTGGCCAGGCATTCGAAGCGCTGCTCGAATGATTTCAGGGCTTGTTCGGTGAGGAGGGTCGAACCTGGGATGACGGGCTTGGATTGCGTTTCTGGTTGTGCTGGTTGCTGTGGGTTTTGGCTGGAAAGGGGTTCGGCAGAGCCTGATGCGGCAGCACCGGCGGTTGTAGCAGCAGCGGCAGTTGCAGCGGCAGCGGCGGTTGTGGCTGTAGCAGCGGCGGCGGCAGCTACAGCTGCTGCTGCCCCTGGCCCTCCCTCATCCGCCCCCACTGCCACACTCACTGCCCTGCCGTGTGCTGCTAGCAGCTCTTGACATGCGGTGAAGATGCTTGACGATGGGTTGAGAGCGGTAAGAGCGGAGGAGGAGTGGGTAGAGAGGGAGGAAAGGGGGGAGGAGGGGGGAGCGAAGTGGGAGACTTGGGTGGTGGGGGAGTGGAGGGAGGACCAGAGGAGGAAGAGGAGGAGGAGGGTGAGGGAGGAGAGGAGGGGGGCGACGAGAGGGGGAGGGAGGCGCGAGAGGGATTGCACGCAGAAGAGATGTGCCCTGCCCGCCTGCACGTGTGCCTTGGCGAGAAGGTCATGGGCGAATCTGGTGAGAAAAAGGGTAGCAAGGGGGAAAGGGGAGGAAGAGGGGGAAGGGGGGGAGGAGGAAAGGGGGAGAGGGAGCAGGAAATGCGGGGAGGGGAGGGCCTGATGAGACAAGAGCATGCAGAAGAGATGTGCCATGCCCGCCTGCACGTGTGCCTTGGCGAGAAGGTCATGGGCGAATCTGGTGAGAAAAAAAATTGGCAAGGGAGGAAGGTTGGGAGGGAATGGAAGGGGGGATGCGGGGAGGGGAGAACCTGGTGAGACAACAGCACGCAGAAGAGATGCGCCCAGCCCGCCTGCACGTATGAACTTACGAGTAGGACAAGTACGTACCTGATGGGGAGGGTGGGGGGTGGTTGGGGTGAGAAGAGGATGGCAGGGCAAGAACGGGAGAGAGTGGAGGGGATGAGAGTGTTTGGTGAGGATGAGAGTGTGGTGGGGATGAGAGAGAGGAGGGAATGAGGGAGTGTCATACATGAACCCCTCACAAACCAGGTGAGTGCATTGGAGAGGCAAAGGAGGGGGGAGCGGGGAAGGTTCAGGGATTAGGGTTAATCTGGGCGGCTGAAGCACGTTTTATGGTAGCTGGATGAGCGAGCATACGACGTTCGCTCGCGATCACTCGCATTTGCATTCGCATTCATGCATGTGTGAGGAATCCTTGTGCAAGGGTATACCCTTACATAGAATGCGCATGCAAGCAGCTTCAGTGGCACATGCAAGTCGTTTATTCTCCAACAGTTTTTTCCCTTACCTTGCATTGGAGCGCACTTGCATTCGCAATCACATGCGATGTCGCATTCGCATTCGCAGGCGTGGGATAATCTGACTCTTTTTTCCCTTACATTTTCACGGACTCGAATGTGGGCGCGCTAAAGAGCTCCCCGCTTTGATACTTGCGCCAGACGGCCCCGACATTGTTCTTCGCCGTTTCGTACGAAAGCATCGCCCAGCGCTGCACCTGCATCGCCGCGTGACTCGTCGCCAGACGTCGCACGCCTCGCACCGGGTCGTCCACGCATTCGCGAAACGCATGTGCGACGCTCTCCGTGCCGCCACGTGGACTGCCTCCTCCATGTCGCGACGTCGGCGCCATGCCTGCTACCTTCTTCCCCTACGAAGGGGGTGAGCTCCCAATGGACCTTACGACTGCTACCTTCTTCCCCCGCCACACTCACTCCACAAGAAATAAGACTGTACCGCTTCGCAGAATTCTAGTCTAAACACTTAAACGAAGCACCTAGTCTAAACCGCTAGAAAGATACTTAAATGGATGTCGGTAAAACGATCCCAAGGAATATTCTATCAGTTACCCTCACACAGGTTGTAGACCCGCGTGGGAGCTCGCACAAAAGACCATCAATAATCTATAATGGTTACCAGATAAAAAAGTAGTACTAAATAAACAGCTGCACAAGCGGTGGAGTGCGGTTCTACTGGCCGCAGGCGACGGCGGCGGCGGTGGCGGTTGAAATACTGGAATTTGAGAATGTAGTCAACTGTAAGGTAGAGAGACCGTTAATAACCAATTTCCTAAACACTTATTAGTGGAACCAGCACTGGAACACTACTCCGACGTCAAGTGTTAGTCCATGAAGGTACCGGCGCGTACACGGACCAATCCGTAGTTCGGATCCGAAATGCAGCCGATTCAGCTTGTCACGACAGCCGTTCGGCATCCATCCTGAACCATTGATCGACGAGCTTAGTCGGCGTTCTGCTTGTCTTTTTGCAGAACAGCGTCAAATGTAGCACCTCAGAAGGAGGTAAGCTTATTTTGGGTCTAGGCCGTCGTTTGCAAGAAATGAGGAAATAGCCAGAGGAGCAGACAATGGTGGGTGACGTCACGTGGTTCTGGTTTGACTCCAGGCCAGGGAACGATCTCCTGGTTGGTTGGCTTGTGTGTTATCGGGGATATACGGCGGCCCCTCTAAAAGTACTGCTCGGAATACACTACCAATCAAACTCAGTAGTATCGCGGTCGCGCTATTATCCAACAAATTATTTATGAAAAAAAAACACACATTTTTTACTCGTCAGCAGCACTAACAAATCAATATTCTAAAGGAATAGCAAGTAGTTATCTTGTCAAACATTACAACGCATCACATCAATTCGCCTTAATGCTTGAAGCGACAGCTAGACCCATTTCGACAAAACCCTCGGGCAAAGAACCTACATGCAAAGCGATCACCCTCCCCTCCTCCGCTTCCACCACCCCCAAACCTTCCACTACCACCCCCACCACCACTCCACTCATCACCTCCTCGCTCTCTCCCCCCTCCCGGCCCTCGAAACGAAACTTCCCTCCTCCCACCACCATCCCTCCACCCGTCATCACTCCCTCTCCCCCGTCCCTCCCCTCCCCCTCGGCTTTGCCAACCCCCATCGTCACTCCCTCTCCCCCGTCCCTCTCCTCCCCCCCTGCTTTGCCAGCCCCCATCGTCATTTCCTCTCCCCCGTCCCTCCCCACTCCCTCGACTTAGCCACCCTCCATCCCCACTCTCTCCCCCCCATCCTCCACTACCGCTACCACTCACCCCAGTACCACCTACCCCAGGGGTATTTACCCCAGAGGCACCCGCTCCAAAACCACCTGCCCCAGAAGCACCCTGCTCCCCACCTTCCCAGCCCTGCCTGTTTCCCTCACTCCAACCTCCCCCCCACCCACTGCTGCCACCACCCCTGCTTTGCCACCCTGACCCATCACCTCCTCCTCCCCCCATCATTCCTGTCGCTCCTACTGCCCCACCAGCAGCAGCAACCCCAGGACCAACGGGTGTGCCTTGCTGCCCCATACCACCATACGGCTGAGGAGCATTGGGGGCCTGAGGAACGTGTAGGGAGTGAGAAACCTGGGGAATTTGGGAAAATTGGGGCCCTACAGGTCCCCCCACCCCACCGCTTGGCACACCGAATGCTGCTGCCCCTGCTTGCCCCACTGCCCCTGCTGGTGGCCCAATTCCTGCTGCTGCCAACCCCGTTCCAACACTACCGCCAGCACCAAAAGCGCCGCCCATACCACCACCAGACACAGCACCAACACCAGCAGCACCAGCAGCACCAGCAGCACCAGCAGCACCAGCAGCACCAGCGGCAGCAGCCCAGAACTGCTGCTTCTCCCTCCCAAACGGACCCACCTTCCCCTCAGCCACCTCCGCCAGCAGCATTCCTGCCTCCGGCCCCTCCCCCACGCGCCACACGCGCAGGTCAGGTGGGAACACGTTGAGAGGCAGCCACCCGCGTAGGCGCGCGAGGGAGAAGGGCCCCTGCAGGTCGCCCTGGGGGTCGCGGTAGTGCCACAGCTGCTGCTGCTCCAGCCGAGAGAGCTCTGCTCGCCACGCTGATTCCAGCTCTGCCTGCTGCTGCAACTGAACCTGCTGCTGCTGCTGCTGCTGTGGCTGCTGGAAGTTCAGCTGCTGCTGCTGTTGCAGCTGGGGGTTTTGATGGGGGTTTTGATGGGGGTTTTGCTGCCAGTTTGAGAGGCTGGCATCTTGCTGGTTACCACTGCTCATCCCAACCTCTCCCTTCCAGCCGTCCCTCTCCTCCCTCCGACTGTCTCTCTCCTCCCCTCGCTCCCTGCTGCCTCCACTCCCCTCCCTCCTCCATGCCCTGTCGCCGCTCCTGCCCTCGCTCCTGCCCTCCCTCTCCCTCTCCTCTCTCCCCCACCCATCTCTCTCCCGCCCCTCTCTCCTCTCACCTCGCTCCCTATCCCGCTCCCATCCTCTGCTCCCTTCTTCCTTCTCTCTTCCCCAACCACTTCCGCCTCTCCCCTCCCTTTCCTCCTCTCGTTCCCCTCCTCTCCCCCACCCTCCTTTCTCCTCCCTCCTCCCCCCCCTCCTCTCCTCCTCCTCCCACCTCCCACGAACTCGATCCCCTCTTCCTTCCCCAAACCTTCCCCTCCCCCTCCCCCTCCACCCCCCTTCCCTGTCCGACCTCCCCCCATCCCCTTCCCTATCACTCCCCTTCCACCCTCCCCTTTCCCCATACCCCCACCCTCCTCTTCCCCTCTCCTCCTCCTCTGAGCGAGAACCAGAGAGAGACCGGGACATAGGAATAGCATTATCCTCCTCTCTCTTCTCTTCCCCTCTTTCCCCTCCTGCACCTCCCCTATTCCCCCAACCATCCCCTCTACCCCTCCCGCCTATCTCTCCTCCCCCACTCCCCCTCCCCCGGAACTCTCCTGCCCCTCTTCCCCCCCTGGGTCGTGAATGGGGGATGGGCTGGCTCCACGGGTCTGGGGGATGGGGGAGGGGGAAGGGGGAAGGGGGAAGGGGGAAGGGGAATGGAGGAAGAGGGAAGGGCGAATCGGGAAAGGGGAAGGAAGAAGGGAGTGAGACTGAATATTTGAAAAAAGGATGTGCATTGCTGTTCAATGGGTGGAAACCCGATTCCAGGTTTTTGGGAATAGGGGGAGGGGGAAGGGCAAGGAAGAACGAGGAAGGGCAAGGAAGAACGAGGAAGGGCAAGGAAGAACGAGGAAGAGGGGCAGGGGAAGAGAAAGGAGGAATGAGGAAGGGGAAGGAAGAAGTAGGAAGGGGGACGGGGGAAGGGATGGAAGAATGGGGAGGGAGGACGACAGCATACAGCAGCAACCTAGCATTGCCCATTTTGAGGCGCCTCAAAACTGGAGGACGACAGCATACAGCAGCAACCTAGCATTGCCCATTTTGAGGCGCCTCAAAACTGGAGGACGACAGCATACAGCAGCAACCTAGCATTGCCAATCATTCTCGAATTCATACTGTATTCACCTCACGATGAGGACGAGAAGAGGACTTGGCTGGTTGCTCTTCTCATCCTCATCATCAACTCACCCGAGGACAAGGCACTTGAGTATCAAGCCAGAGCCTGCCTCCTGTCCCCCCCCCCACTCTTCCCTCCCTCCACCCCCTTGGCCCTTACCTGTCTGCTTGTTCTTCCGAGTCGACTCAAAAGTCCTCTTCTCATCCTCATCATCAACATCACCTGAGGACAAGTCACTTGAGTATCAAGTCACAGTCCGCCTCCTGTCCCCCCCCCCCCCCCCCCCAAATCTTCCCTCCCTCCCTCCCTCCCTTTGCCCTCACCTGTCTTGCTCTTCTCGCCCTCATCATCAGAGTCTCCAGTAGACAGGTTCACGAGGTCCAGCGTCAGCCTCAATTGGTGGATACTCCCTGCCCCACCTCCCCTCCCCCCCCTTGGCTCACCTGTTTTGTTCTTCTCGCCCTCATCATCAGAGTCTCCAGTGGAGAGCAGCATGAGGTCAGGGTCCGCCTCAATGGTGGGGTACTCAGCCATCTTCTTGGCTTTAAATGCCGGCTTGTCCAGCTCCTTCTCTCCCTCCCTCCCCTTGGCTCACCTGTCTGCTTGTTCTTCTCGCCCTCATCATCGGAATCACCGGTAGACAGGGACAGCAAGTCAGGGTCCGCCTCAATGGTGGGGTACTCAGCCATCTTCTTGGCTTTGAATGCCGGCTTGTCCAGCTCCTTTAGCGCTTGCACACACTCCCATTGCGTGGCAAGCAGAACGGTTGAAAACGGTTGAAAGGGATCCATTTATTCAGCAACAGAGTTCCAGATTCGGTGGTTGAGGAGAAGTATGGGGAAGCAAGGGGATGGCGGAGGAGAATGGGGGGAGAGGGTGGCGGAAGAAAGGAAGAGGAGGTTGGGGCATGAGGGGGAAAAAGGATATCCAGATGGTTAAGGAACGCTTGGATTCATTGAGGCCAAGGCAAGTTGACTTTTGAGTCGACTCCAGTTGGTTGAGTCGACTTTTGACTTTTGAGTTGACTCAAAAGTCAAATACATGTCCAGATGGTTAAGGAACGCTTGGATTCATTGAGGCCAAGGCAATAGGGAAAATTGGTGAGGTGTGCTTGAACAGCGATTGACAGCAAGGTTGGGTGGGAGAGGCTACTGCGGAGGGACGAGAACTGGAAGGCAGAGAGGAGAGGACAGTAAAGGAGAAACCGGAGCAGCAAAACAGGAACAGAAAAGCACAAGGTTGGGACAGGAACATAAAGGTGGCTACAGGTAAGGGGTGAGGTAAGGAAGGGAGGAGAGTGTCGTTGCGAAAGGGTATTCTTTCGAATAGAGTTAAGAAGAGTAATCTAGGCCGACTCAAAAGTTGAGCTAAGAAGTGAGGTACGGAGTGAGGTACGGAGTGAGGTACGGATTGAGGTACGGATTGAGGTACGGATTGAGGTACGGATTGAGGTACGGATTGAGGTACGGATTGAGGTACGGAGTGTGGGGTGAGGTGAGGTAAGGGTGAGGTGAGGTAAGGGAAGGGGGAGAGTAGTGTCGCTGCAAAAGGATATTCTTTCTTGGATCCTCGCTCGCTTGCCCTGTCCCTCAGATTGGTCAGCTTGACTCGCTCCGCCTCCAACCACTGGCAGGGGTGGGAAGGGGGGGGGGGAAAGAGCAACAGCAAGAGAAACAGCAGAGAGGAGCAGGGGAGTAGGGAAGGCGTGAGTGAGAGTAGCTCGCTTGCCCTGTCCCTCAGATTTGTCAGCTTCACTCGCTCCGCCTCCAACCACTGGCAGAGGTGGGGGGAGGCAGCAAGAAGAGAGAAAGAACAGAGGAGCAGGGGAGTGTGAGTGGGGAAGGATTTGACTTGACATTTGCTCGCTTGCCCTGTCCCTCAGATTGGTCAGCTTCACTCCCTCTGCCCCCAATCACTGGGAGGAGCAAAGGGAACAGGACTTGAGGAATGGTACGGGGAAGAGGGGTGGGGACGGGGGGGAGAGGAGGGGAAGCGAGGGGAGGGGAGGGGAGGGAAGGGGAGGCGGGTTACTTTGTTTGGCTCATCGTTTCTTCTCATGACACATGATGCCATCTCTATAAATTACCGACTGGAAAGTGTATGGAGCGCTTTCATTCATATTCGCAATTCAGCTTCGAATACACCACACCACACCACACCACACCACACCACACCACACCACACCACTCCATACCACACCACACCACTCCACACCGCAACGCACCCCACTGCTCAACTCCACGCGGCACTCACATCGTTCACTTTGAGCTCATGCAGCTCGTTCTCCTTGGCTGCCACCTCGTCCTGATACATAGGAGAGAAGGGAGGGCGAGAGAGAAGGGACGGTGGGGGAGAGAGAGGATGGATTCAGCACAGACTGATTCAGCACAGACTGATTCAGCACAGACTGATTCAGCACAGACTGATTCAGCACAGACTGATTCAGCACAGACTGATTCAGCACAGACTGATTCAGCACAGACTGATTCAGCACAGACTGATTCAGCACAGACTGATTCAGCACAGACTGATTCAGCACAGACTGATTCAGCACAGACTGATTCAGCACAGACTGATTCAGCACAGACTGATTCAGCACAGACTGATTCAGCACAGACTGATTCAGCACAGACTGATTCAGCACAGACTGATTCAGCACAGACTGATTCAGCACAGACTGATTCAGCACAGACTGATTCAGCACAGACTGATTCAGCACAGACTGATTCAGCACAGACTGATTCAGCACAGACTGATTCAGCACAGACTGATTCAGCACAGACTGATTCAGCACAGACTGATTCAGCACAGACTGATTCAGCACAGACTGATTCACTTTGAGCTCATGCAGACTGGTGTGGCGTGGCATTGCGTGGCAATAGCAACAGTGATGGCAAAGACAGTAGCAATGCAAATGACATAGGCACGGCACAGCGTGTGGGCATTTGTTACTCGACTCAAAAGCAAGGGAGCACAGCATGGCAGCACACACGTACCACAGTGAGTCGATCCACTAGCCCCCACTTCATGTACTGCCGCAGCTTCTGACACTCCTCCTGTGTTGGTTGGGGGGGGTGGAGGTGGAGGAGGGACAAGGGAACGGGCAGGGAATGCAATACAAGTGGTGAGAACAAGGGACAGACAGCAGGTCGGTCCACTAGCCCCCACTTCATGCACTGCCGCAGCTTCTGACACTCCTCCTGTGTTGTGTTGTGTGGGCAGGTGGAGAGTGGGCAAGTGAACGGGCAGGGCAGGGCATGCAGAAGGCAGCAGAAGGCAGAGACGGTGAGTCGACAATGGTGTCGGAGTTAAGGACAAGATTGATGGTGGTGGTGGCCTCTGGCGCCTTGAGATTCATTATGAGAAGCACCCTGTTGGTCAGGCCCTTGCAGCTCACACTCACACTCACACACACACTCACACACCCTGACCCACACGTTCACTCACTCACTCATACTGTAACTCAGTCGACTCTCACGCACCCTCGGTGAGATGACTTCTGAGTCGAGGTGACTTTTGAGTCGACTCAAAAGTCATACTGTAACTCATTCGCCTCTCACGCACCTCTGGCGTCTTGAGGTTCATGATGAGCAACACCCGGTTGGTCAGGCCCTTGCAGCTCACACACCCACACTGACTCACACGTTCACACACTCATTACTGTAACTCACATACACCCTCTCTCATTGCGTCTCACCTCAGTGAAGTCGGAGTTGGAAACCAGGTCAATAGTCGTGGCCTCTCTGGCGTCTTGAGGTTCATTATAAGCAGCACTCGGGTGGTGTTTACAATACAACAACACTCCCACGCACACATCCACATGCACACTCGAGTGTCCACACTCTCCCACGCACCTCAGTTCAGTGAAGTCAGAGTTAGAGACCAGGTCGATGGTGGTGACCTCTGGCGTCTTGAGATTCATGATGAGCAGCACTCGGTTGGTGAGGCCCTTGTAGCTCACACACTCACTCACTTTCACACTCACTCACTTTCACACTCACTCACTTTCACATTCACTCACTTTCACACTCACTCACTTTCACACTCACTCACTTTCACACTCACTCACAACCACACTCTCACGCTCACCTCTGTGAAGTCAGAATTAGAGACCAGGTCGATAGTCGTGGCCTCTGGCGTCTTGAGGTTCATGATGAGCAACACCCTGTTGGTGAGCCCCTTGCCCACGGGGTACATGTCCGTCTGGCTCGTGCAGCCTGTATGGGGGCGAGGGAAACGAGCGGAGGAGTGAGAGGAAAGGGGAAGGAGACGAGACATGACGAGCAGCACCTTGCTGGTCAGATCAGCCCCTTGCCCACGGGGTACATTTCAGTCTGGCTCGTGCAGCCTGCGTCAGGGAGAGATGCGGGTGAAGGGAGGTGGAAGAGAGGTGCACAACCTGGCGCACACCAGTTTTGAGAATTCTAAAAAAACAACCTGGCGCACACCAGTTTTGAGAATTCTAAAAAAACAACCTGGCGCACACCAGTTTTGAGAATTCTCAAAAAACAACCTGGCGCACACCAGCACCACCACCAGCAGCACCTACCTGTGATGCGCACGAGGTGGTAGCACGCCTCAGTCTGATTGGCCGGGCCCGGAACACGAATCCGCACAAAGGTGCCCACCACCTTGCGGCCAAACCCCTCATTTGACCCTGAACCCTGCCCTAACCCCACAGCAGCACCTACCTGAGACACTCACAAGGCGGTAACGCGCCTCAGTCTGGTTCCCTGGTCCCGGGACGAGGATACGGACAAAGGTGCCCACCACCTTGCGATCAAACCCCTCATCCGCCAGCAACCCCTCCAGACCCAACCCCACAGCACCACCTACCTGTGACCCGCACGAGCCGGTAGCAGGCCTCAGTTTGATTGGCCGGGCCCGGAACACGAATCCGCACAAAGGTGCCCACCACCTTGCGGTCGAACCTCTCATCCGCCAGCAACCCCTCCAGCTGGTGTCTCCTCTTCTGACCCATACTCCCGTCCCAATCTCACCTGTGACTCGCACGAGGCGGTAGCACGCCTCAGTCTGGTTCGCTGGTCCCGGCACACGAATCCGCACAAAAGTGCCCACCACCTTGCGGTCAAACCCCTCATCCGCCAGCAGCCCCTCCAGCTGCCGCCTTGGCCCTGAACCTTGGACTTACCCCAATCCCCATGCCTATACCTGAGCAACGAGGCGAGTTACTCGCTCGGACTCGGCCGAGTTACTCGTTTGGGTGCGAGTAACGAGTTTCGTTTTTTGTAAAATTTACTCGGCCGAGTCGAGCCGAGTATTACTCGCCGAGTTTTTTTTGCTCGACGAGTACTCGCTTGCTTTTAGGCGAGCATTTAGGGAACTCGCCGAGCATTTTAAGCCCTGTAGAGGGCATGGCCGAGCATTACTCGTACTCGGACGAGTTTTTCAAATTGCTCGCCCGAGTTTCGCTAAAGAAGGCGAGTAACGAGTATCTGTTTGGGGGAAAATTGCTCGGTCGAGTTTTACTCGACTCGGGCTCGTACTCGGCCGAGCATGGCTAGGGACGAGTCGAGCATTACTCGTGCTCGCCTCGTTGCACAGGTATACCCATGCCCCGGTATCACTCACCTGTGACCCGCACGAGGCGGTAGCACGCCTCAGTCTGGTTCGCTGGTCCCGGGACGCGGATCCGCACAAACGTGCCCACCACCTTGCGGTCGAACCCTTCATCCGCCAGCAGCCCTTCCAGCTGCCTTCTCTTCAGAAACACCCCGCCCAGATTTGCCAGCGTCACCGCCGCGTACCCACACTCAGGACCCGGGGGGGGAGCCGGGGGAGCAGGGGGAAAGGCAGAGGGGGCGAAAGGGTCGGTCACTTCAGGGACGTCTAGGTCTGAGGCGAATGGATCGGAGTAGCGGGTGTGGTTGGGTTCGGCAGCTGTAGCGGCGGCTGTAGCAGTGGCTGGGTCGTCTCGAGAGGCCTTGGGGGGCCGGCCACGCTTCCTCTTTCGCGGGCTTGGCTCTGGAATAGACCTTGAATCGTGGTCTCGAGCGAATGCATCTTCCTCCTCCTGTTGCTGCCGCTGCTGCTGCTGCTGCTGCTGCTGCTGCTGCTGCTGCTGCTGCTGCTGCTGCTGCTGCTGCTGCTGCTGCTGCTGCTGCTGCTGCTGCTGCTGCTGCTGTGCATTGCCAATCTTCATCTGCTCTTCATTTTCTTCTTCTGCTAGGTCCTGTTCCTGTGTCACTCCTTCCCTTGAGCTCCAATCCTTCTCAAATGAATCATCCTCCTCCCTCCTTCCCTCCCCTTCCTTTCCTTTCCTCTCCTCCTCCTCCTCCTCCTCCTCCTCCTCGTCTCCCTGCTCATCCCTTTCCTCTTCACCGTTGTCATACTCCTCTCCCTCGCCTTCCATCTCACCGTAACTCTTCAATCTCTTACTACCTCTCGTCACACTCTCCCCTCTGTTTCCCCTCCCCCTCCCCCTTCCCCTCCCCCTCCCCCGTCCCCTCCCTCTCCCTCTTCCCCTTCCCCGCCCCCTCCTCCCACCTGTTTCCCACTCCAAATCCCCCCCTTCCTCCTCCTCCTCTCCTCCTTCCTCCTCTCCTCCTCTCGCCCCCTTCCCCTTCCCCTTCCCCTTCTCCCCCCCTCCCATCTTAGCAGCCTCCTCCTCTGCTAGCCGCTTCAGCAGCCGCCTAGGCACTTTTATAGAGCTCTTAACGGGGTAGTGCGTGGCGAGAGTGTAGTAGAACTGAGCCTGCGTGCTTCTATCGGTATCGCAGAGAGCTTGTAACGCATCGTCGCATGTGATCCATTTGCCCTTCTGCAATCACCACCAGTGACAGGGAGAGAGGAGAAAGAGGGGGGCGATGGAGAAGAGGACAAACAAACAGGGAGAAGGGAGCCCAACAAAGAAAGAGAGATATGCATGTGATTTAATTACACCGATTATCACCTGTTAGCACTTCTATAATGAACAGCAATTACTGCCTGATTATGATATCTTGATGGAACATTGAGTACGCCCTATTGATTATTCTAAGTACCAATAGCAACCTGGTAGATGCAAGGCTGCCTTATGTGTGCGCGCAAAGAGAAAGATACGTGAGGTGAGAAAGATGTATCATGGAGACGAGATGCAGACGAGAAAGATATCTCAAACATAGATGCAGATACGCCCACCCACCCGCACGCACGCACACATGCACACACGCGCGCACGCACGCACGCACGCATGCACGCACGCATGCACACACGCGCGCACGCACGCACGCACGCATGCACGCACGCATGCACGCACGCACGCACTCACGCACGCACGCACGCACACAGGCACGACGCGTGCACCCGTTGCCTCAAGCACCCACCTGCAGGCCGTTGGCTTGAATGTATTATTATGTACCCTGCAACTATCCTCTTCACAGCCGACCAGTACAGAGGCACGTCCACACTCTCGCCTTGCAGCGGAGGAATGAAGACAACTGCGTTAACACACACTACCTTGCACCCTGCTGCCTTGAGCATTCTCGAGAGCTCACCTGCAGTCCGTTGGCTTGGATATATCCTGCAACAATCTTTTTCACAGCCGACCAGTACAGAGGCTCCTTCACACTCTCGCCCTGCTCCTCCAGAAACGATAGCAGCGCCTCACTCGCCCACCCAGGGTACTCTCCCTCCGCCTCCCCGCCTTCCTCCCCCGCCTCTTCCCCCGCCTCCTCTCCTTCTCCTGCTTCCTCGCCCTCTCCTGCCTCCCCCCCCCACCCTCCTTCCCCGTCCACCCCTCCTTCCATCTCTCCTTCTCCTCCCTCCCCATCCCCCTCCGCATCATCCTGCCCAGCCACCCATACCTCCACATCCCCCTCGTCCCCCTCTCCCCCCTCCTCCCATTCCCCCTCCCCCCTCTCCCGCGCATCCCCCCACTCCCTCTCCCCTTCCACCTCTCCGCCATCCCCCTCTGCTTCATCCTGCCCAGCCACCCACACTTCCACATCCCCCTCCTCCCCCTCCCCCCCTTCTTCTCCCCATTCCGCTTCTCCCCCTTGCTCTCCGTAACCGTTCTCCTCCCCAGTATCCTCCTCCGCTTCCTCCTCTCCGCCTTCCCCTTCCTCTACGTACTCTTCTCCTTCTGCCTCCGCCCCCCCTTCCCCGTATTCCTCCTGCTCCCCCTCCGCCTCCACCTCCGCCTCCGCCTCCTCTTCCTCCTCGTCCCCCGTTTGTGTCACAACCCCCGTGTCCGCCCTGTCACTCTCCGTCCAGTCGTCCGGGCCCTCGGCAGAGTCACGCGTCGCCAGATCATCCTCGTTATTGTCGGCCGCCATAGTGCGTGCAGCGTCTGCGCCGGGAATTGTACGGCACTCGAACAAATGACGCGGGCCACAGGCGAGACAGACGCAATTTCACGTCTCCCGGCAATCAGAGGATTTCACGCGATTTTTCTCTTGGCTAGCGACGCGCCGTAGATTAACGTATCTGCTGCCGAGCCAACGGGAACCAGTGGACGAACCAAAACTCGTCGGTATTACGAACCAGGGTTGGCGATTCGAGTGCTGAGGTCAGCCTGACGTAAGCGATCTTGAGTGCCAGACACTTGGCCCTGTTTCTCTCCTTCCCTGTTATTTCGTAATGATTTCTTCGACAGGTTTTTTGTATTATATTTTTCTTTGTTTACCTTAGGACTTCGGAAAAAATGGTCAGGGGAATCGAAGGTTTATAGTAGCCGGCGTTTAAAAGCTCTTCTTCCCGTATCCCACCTTCTTATGAAACCCGTGTCCGCGTCAGATCGCGGCGTCCAGATGACAAATAGTTCCCAAATATCGCGGTCCGCGCATAAGATATGTGGATCGCCCTTGGTTCAATCCCTTTTTTTCATAAACTGAGATACGGTTACTTCGCCGTTCGCATATATTCTCCTCGTCAGATATTTATGTCCCGCCCCCAAACAAACGCAAACCAGATCGATCAAAAGCAGGGTTGGATGACGTGTTGCGCAATATGTGAAATTTATTTCACAACATGATAACCATGTTTCTTGAAACAAGGCAATGGAGTCGCAGAAAGATAAGCGCAGACGGACGTAGCTCGCGTGAAGACCACCTGTAAATGCTGTGAGAGAGAGGAAGTAGGCTGTGTGACTTGAGAAACCTCACGGGATGAGCTATTAACGAGCGGAATGGGAGACGTGGATGGAAAGCAGGGTCGAGAATCATGACACAATCGAGCGTCCCGCTGATTTCGGCAGAGAAACTCGAAACATCGATAATAGCAACATCGATAACTGCGTATATGCACCCAATGTTCTGGTAGCCTGGAAACTAAATAGAAAAAACATCACTAGGAGGGATAACCGTCGATGTGAAGATGTAAACGGCCGAGATTACAAGCGGCTTTACTGGCCCTGAATGGGTGAAGTTAGAAAAGGTTCAAGTATTGACCGTCCATGTGACTGATTCTGGACGATTGAGATGACGCCTAAATTCGATCCAGGCTGGAATTAAAACCGTCGATAGACATGGCTACGAACGATCGAGATTCGAAGGTAAACTGGCAAAACGTAGAGCAAGAAATTTTTGGATGGCTGCGATCAGACATGCGCTGTGTCTCAGCTGGAATAAGAACCGTCGATATTTGACATGCCCAAACCAGCCCAATACGTTCACTCAGCACTCCAGCTCGACATAGTGCAAAGTGCGTGGCGAGTGTACAAAACCGAGCGGGAAATACAGAACCGATTATATATGTTCCCGCGCTGATAGAAATACATCTACTTCTAAAGCTGTGCTACACGCCTACGATTTTCGACTCAGCAACGACGAGATCGGAGGTTGTCGAGAAACCCAAGCACCAGCCATGTCTTCCACTGACTTTCCTCTTGCACCCCTTCATCGTAGCGACAGCGGCTGCGGCAGGGACAGTGATAGCTATAGCGAAATCGGAAGCGACACGGGTGATTCATAGTCGGGGCTACTTCAGCTGTCAGCGGCGCCGACACTCACGCTGCGTCCCATTTAGAGTGGTCGATTACCTGCTGTAACAGAGGTGCTTCCGCCTTTCTTTCCGACACGCTTTCCGCCTTACTCCCCACTCGGACCACGAATCACGGTCTCTGTCGAGCGAAGAGCCTTGTGAAGACCTAACCTGTGTTTCAGGCAACCCTCATATGAGCGCGCGGAATGTTCCCTTGCCTTGCATCAGACTTTTCAGAAAATAATTCCACTGACACTACCTACCTTACCCTACCTTACCCTACCTTACCCTACCTTGTCTTACCTTACCTTACCGTTCCAAGCAACCTTCTTATGGGCTCGCCGGGGTGCGTTGCTTCGGCAGACCAAGTAACCTACCCTTTCAAGCAAGTTTACTGTGACGATGATTGTAACGGTGCTTCGTTGCGCGCAGATTTCCTCCAGGGTGACGGCAAGAATGGATCTTTCTCGTCCGCCTGTCGGATGGAGTTTTAAGTGACCGATCCCAGCTCTGTGAACCATACCAATCTTATGACCAATTTAAAGCACCGATCTAAGTTCTTCCCAGCAGCGGTTAGCCCGAAGCTCAACGTGAGAGTAGCAGTCGTTCCCTTCGTGCGGTAGCGAGCTCTCCAGGGACGGCATTTGCACGCTGCGAAGCGTTCGTTCGATCGTACTGCTGTGTCCCTTGCGTCTCGCTTGCTTCCGATCACGCGAGAATAAGCACATCAGTACGGTCTCTCGCCGCGAGGAAATTGCTCCAGGGCCTTGTTTGGTGATTCGCTCTTGCTCATGTGTCCCCGAATTTCTCGCGTGGCCATTGAATTCAGTGATAATTGCTCGAGTGGTCACGCCAGGGGATTTTTGAGGTGTTTTTTTCCCCGGCACATTACCCTACAAGGAATTTAGCCCCGAAAGTCCTCTCACGTACTCGTCTCATCCCGCGCAAGCGTTGCGTACTATTCCCCACTCGAATATTACGCCAGGGTGGGCGGGCGCGAACGTGGCCCACTCAGTGTACAGAAAACCGACAAATAATCACGACCAGCAGTACATGCGCGCTCAATTTCGGCCCAATGCGCGACCAATGAGCGCTCGGTCAAACGAATTCGTAACCAATAAGCGCTCGAGCATATAAATCCGCAATCATATGGGTAATTGTGCGGTTTCATTATCTGAAAATTATGATTGGGACTTTACATGACGCATATGATTGGACGTGCAGTGTCTAAATATGCCCCGCGCATATAACGGACTAATCACGTAATGTCTAGATATGATTGGTCCGTTTTATGCGCGGGGCATATTAGAAATTGCAAAAATTTCGAGTGGAGAATAGTACGCAACGCTTGCGCGGGATGAGACGAGTACGTGAGAAGACTTTCGCGGCTAAATTCCTTGTAAGGTAGTGTGCTGGGGAAAAAAAACACCTCGAAAATCCCCTGGCGTGGCCACTCGAGCAATTATCACTGAATTCGATGGCCACGCGAGCAATTCGGGGACACGTGGGCAAGAGCGAGTTGTGAAGAAACGAGGAATGAATGAACTAGCCCAAGATTGGGTACAAGTAGGAAACCCTAGGAAACTGTACCCCATAGTGTCTACCCCACTATAGCCTAGACAAGCTATATGATATGAGTTTGACACACCCCCATAGGCAAAGTGGGGGAGAACAACAGGTCACAAGACCAGTCAAGCAAAGCAAAGCAAGCTCAGGGTGGATCACAACGTCACCACACAATCCGAGCACAAGAGCAAGGCCAAAAGGCCAGTTCACATGCAAGATCATATATAAAGGTAAACAAGCAAGTGCAGGTATAGAAAGATCACAGTACAAGCAAGGTCAAGAAGTGAGCAAGTG